ATTTACAAGTACTGCATGCTTCATGCTGGAAAGGTTTTGCTGCTCTTTTTAATGGTGATTCCCACATGAAAATTCCATGTATGACAGGGTGTATGATTCTGTAGGGTCATGTATGATCATATATTTACCATATACCACCATATATGTATTAATATATTAACAATTGTATGGTGCATAATATATTTTACCTGCATTGCAATATTATGTGTGATGGGCAAATGACATAATGCCTGATATGTAGTGAATATGCATAGACAAGTCTTATGGTTGTAAGTAAAACATAGGATGAGGTCAGTGGTGTATTTTTGCTGAAGAGTCAGGGGGGACAGGGCAGCAGAGTGGAGGCACCAAGCCCTGTCCCAGGGATGCCAGGCAGAGCAGCTGCACCCCCCCTGCCCCCTTCTCAGAAAACACGCCACTGCATGAGGTTGTTACATGTGAGGGGAATTGACCTTCAGATGCCTCTGCAACTTATTTTTAATACACCTATTATATTTTACATGAAATATTAAGTATGCATAACCCTTAAAGTAATTTGCCAAAAGTTTGATTTTGAACCCCCCCAGATGAAAATCCTTGTTGGAAATGGCTATAATTTCCAGCTGAATCTCAGTTGGAAATTCAGACCAATTCCAACTGGGTAGTAGCTGGAAAGTAAAGTCAGATCCAGATTGTTCCTAATTGCAATACACTGGTATTCTCATTCTTGAGAATGTTTTTGTTGGCTATTCTTGCTGGAGGTCCATCTACAGAAGCAGTTGAATTTCAACTGTAAATGGTCAGAATATACAGCTTCTGTCCACCTGAAAAATTCCAGTCAGGATTTCAAGCTGGGCCCTACCCTCTCTAGGTAGCATAAGTGTATCACGGATGAAAAAAGTGTGGGAGGAGTGGGGGGCATGGGAACTCTGGGACATTGTTATCATACATCTTGGGTTTTTTTTTGTTGTAAAGTGGGGCACATGCCATGCCATGTCATGCTGTTCCTTACCTTCATTAAACAATTCCTTCATCGGATAATTTCAGAAAGAAATACAGTTTCTGTTCCCATCTATCTTCTGAGTTGTGAGTCAAAATGAAGAAGACACTCCTACATGAGAAAGCAAAGTTTTGTCTTGAAATAGCATTACTGATGAAAATTCTTGTGAAGGTTCAAGTCTATAATATTGAAACTTTCACCTTCATTAACGAGGGTGCATATGTTGAACACCATGTAACATGCATTCTTGGAGTAGTTGACTGTGGTCTATGAACAATTGAAAATGAGTTGATTGCAAGTTAAGTATGGTGACTTGCATATGAATGATCATACAGTATTTGATGGATTATGGACCCTTTTTTGATACAGACATGTTTTGGGTAATCTCACCATACATATGTATGACATGGCATATATGGACAGTATATGGTGCATATGTATGAGCCAATATATGAAAATGCATGGAGTCATATTTTCACTCTTATATGATTTTATGTGACTTGTGTCAAACCCCATACATGTTTCACATATGTTCATATATGTATTGCACTATGCCCCATATATGTTGGACTGGTTAAATATAAGACCATTTCATATATGGTCTTATATGAAATTTTCACATTGGTAATGTGGTCAGAACAGAAAGAAATATTTTTAAATGTTATCTAAAACATCGTTACTATGTTATTTAAACTATATATCATTACTATACTTAGTTTATGAAAAGTTAAAGTCAAACTGTAAATATTTTTCCTGATGGGCTAACAAACTCGCTATGTCGTAAGGGCATGTGCCATGAAAGTAGGATTACTCCTGAACTCAACACTGCAACAGTTATTTGAGTGCTGAGTTGCACCTTTCTAAGATTCTTCTTATGAGTTGAATGAAAAAATTCACTTGATAACATCTCCCACCAAAAGTATTTCAGACAAAAACCCTATCCAGAATTGTTTTAGCTGTTAGGTGCAACAGCTACAGATTTAAACAGAAAAGGCAGAACCTACTAATATCTCAGAAGCAATCCTGGCTTAACTCTGAAATGATTACTCAGGCATATAAATAAAATAATTGAATAAAATGAATAGAGTAAAATTACAAACGTTTGGACAGTTAAGCTGACCAAGCGTCATTATTCGCTCATTCTATCTCAACAGTACAAGCTGAAAGTCTAATTTTTGTTCCTGGGAGCATGACACGAGGAGGTATAAGTGCTACAAAGGTGTTGTCCTTCCTGGGAATATGACTTCTGATATTGCCTATAATGTCATGTCTGAACTTAAATGTGGAAAAGGTTAAGTGTGGACACTTCACCTTAGTTCAGATACCCTAATCTCAATGAGGCTTGAAACACTTGATTGTTTCTATAAGAAGACATGATCAGATATTTTTTCCAATATGTGTTCATATAATATATGATATAATATAAATCTCCCATACATCACATATGCCTATTTCTTATGAAATCATGTATGATTTTCCATATGGGTATTCCAAATGGATAGCAGAAGAACCAGTGATCAATCCAGTGAGTTTTCTGAAAGCTATTCAAAATTTCCCTTTGTATTCTGAGGAACTGCCCACATCAAATGTCAGATTTATCATAGAATATCATTTATAACTTTGATTTAAAGTAATGGATTTTGGCAGCCTAGTTGACTTTCAAATAAATGAAGGTAAGCTTCATCCACAGCACATTTTGTGAGATACAGTCAACTCTCGCTATACCACCACTGTTGATCTTTGCTGATTTTGGTGCCCTATCAAAGCTCATGGCTAAGGAAAATTTTACATTTGATCAAATGTACACAAAAAATCATTCATTAATTCGCACTGGCAATGGTCTGCACCTCAGAGACACCATCAGTGACATCCATGTAAAGGTACCTCTGTGTCATAGATGTTCCTTTGGCACAGCCTAAGCAGGAGCTACAGAGAATATTACAGTGTGTCTAAAAAGTCTCTACCCAATGGAAGATACAGGGTGTCCCATAAGTCACTATGCTATTTTAAACTGCAATATTTTCCTAACTGCATCTAGCAGATCACTGTTGTTAGCATTGATGGAAAGAACGTTCTTTAGAATATTTTTCATGATAATGACTTTGAATCAGACTCAAATGGAACTTGCTTCAAATGCATATTAGAAGGGTGTACTTGTTTTGGGACATTTTCAGTGCACTCATTGAATCCTTTTCTACAAACAATAAACTTTATGTTTTTCTCTTCCAACTTCAGCTACACCTGAGAAACAGAAAAAATGATGATTTCATTTAATTTGCTTTTGCTGTTGTGGGAAAAGGCTTTGCACTTGACAGTGGAGCAATGGAGAAAAGTTGCAATCTAGAAGGAGGTCACTGAGAGTCCCATTAGAGTAAAAGGGGAGTTTTGGCAATTTTTTGGTCTCCAGCCTTTTGCCTAATGTATTGATATGGGCAAAGGGGATTTTGAGGCATTTTTTAAATGCAGAAATACCTCAATTTTTAATCAAATTAATTCCTAATGACATGCAATTTTTCAGTTAATGTTACTTCATTTTTGTGTGAACTGTTTAAAAGATGTGATTAAATGGTGCAATGACTTATGGGACACCCTGTACATTGAAACTCATGTTAGTGTAATATGCAACAGGGAAGTTAATAAGCAGAACATGCACTACTGGTTGCAGGAAAATTTGCATTGAATGTCATCAACCTATTGCAGAGATCTCAAAAACGTATGGTGTGGTGTGGACTTGGGGTTATGACCATTTTTCTTTGAAGGAACTTTGAAGGAAGAAAGAAACAGTGAGCAATACTTGAACATGTTGGGAGATAAATTAATGTCATCTCACACCAATGGACTTTGTCATATGTATTTATCAGTGCACCTTAAATGCAATGAGTAAAAATTAGAAATCTCAACCATCTCCATGAACAGGCATAAAAAAAAGCATTTGAGCATCCATTGATGGCAATGAGAGCTGGTTCCAAAGCGTTCACAGGGGCATGAAATGCTGACTGCAAACCTGCTTTGAACTGAATGGGAAACATCTTGAATGTTTAGGGTTTGGTTCCATAAATAAATGAATTTCCCATTGGGACAGAGACTTTTTGGAAACCCTGTAGATTGGTTAGACTCCAAATGCAGTAACCAGAATGTAACTTAGGTGTCCCTAATACACAGGTAATGGTCCTCTCAAAAAATCACATGCTGTATACCCCACAAGTCAGGAACCAGTGAAGTTCAAGTACTTCAAGACCTGGTTCTCAAATAAAGGTCAATTCTGAAACAAGATTGACAATTCCATCACCAGAACTTTGGGAAAACACTGGCACACCATAGTTACCAAATCTGACTTGACAAGGAGTTGAAACAGTTTACTGATTCTTTATTCAGCACTTTATTTTTAAAAAAAGGTCCATTGAAAAGATGAGGGAACTAGTTTACAAGAACCTCTGTCTAGTAGCCCTTCAAGGGAATTCCAAACACCATTCCATTGAAGGCCTAATGGGCTGGATTTTTGGAAACTTTTTTCTTCATCTTTTTGATGGACCTTTTCCATTAAGTGCTGAATATACATATGAAGTTTGAGTAATAACAAAAGGACTTGGATCTCAAATACACACTACTAACATGAGATTTTCTCTTTGAGTGGCCCGTGTCACACATCACAATAGGATGCAGCATACCACCAACTGTGAGACCCTCCAGGTCAAGTAGCTTCTCTCTGGATCAATAGATACTAAGTGTAGAGGTTTTGACATATCTGCCTCATGACCTAAAGGAGTCTCTCACTCTAAGGTGATCAGCAGACCAGTTGACAAACCTTATACAAGGTGGAATGACTATTAAGTGAAGCTTTGTCATGAGAGGCTTGGCATTCCACCTATTCAACTCAAGTCTCTTGCCCAGGATTGGAAACACTGGAGGATGGTCCTGGGCCTGCATTATCAGCAGCCCCCTGGAGCCTGGATGGATGGTCTTGAAAATGTATGTGTAGATATGAGGCATGGCAATCAAATGATTTAAAAGCAATAAAATTAGACTATTGGGCAGTTGTTTTTATTTGTTCACAAAACAAGCGAATGAGAGACAAGCATGGAAAAAGAAGACAAAAAGATACATATATGAGGTGCATGTAAAAACTTCTGATCATTAATTTCTTACTGGGAAGCTTACAATGCCACATTGTTCAACTTTTGCTCATGTTTTAGAATAACCTCCATACCCGTCACTGCATAAAATGCTCAATTAGATTCACCTTTGGATAGCAGCAGTAGAGTTTCCTTTGTGGGTATGTTCTCCATGCAGGGGAGCATTTCCCCCTGCAGGTTTGTGATCAGGTAGAAATCATTGGGGGCATATTGACAAACCATTCACAGGCATCTACCAGTTCAATGCTCCACTACTTTTTCCCTCTTTGTGTTGACAAAGGAGACCACAGCCCTTTGTATTTCACAAAACTGTAAACTGTACCCTTATTTGCTAAACTCAACCATTTTCAAAAAATTATTGAAAGGAAGAATTAGCATTGATGATATTGCACACGCTTTTAATGCATCATTTGATGCATCACAAAATTAACATGAAAAATATAGAGGTTAGTAGCAAACATGTCAAGCCACAACATGACATGATTTATCTTTCTCCCTGCCAATGTAAACTCATGAAAACATTGATTAGAACTTTTCATATGCACCTCGTATAGCATTGCAATGAAAGACGGTCATGCTCTTGACATCTGGTAGAGGCTGAAATGCACTAAATGAGATTCAAAAATGTGGAAGGCAAACACGCTTAGCAAAAAGTTCTGAGATGACAGTTATCCACAATGCAAGAACAAAGAAAATATATGAGAAGCCGACCTGGAAGCTGTTGGGAAGCTGATATGCCTTACCACCAATTTCAGCCATCCCAAAACCAAGGGGGAAAATTACAGCTGCCAGGCAAAACAGCACCACTGCAAAAACAGTAAAACCATTTTGGAACTCCTAGGCTGGAAGTGAAATACACATGAATGTGCATGCAAATTACCTAATGAAATTAGTCTTCACACTCTCACAATTTCAACTTTACTTGCTTCTAGGTTAAATGAATCTATTCCCATGCTTTCATCAATATGAATAATGGAAGGAAATATGGGAATGAAAAAGTTTCTTCCACACATTTCTTCCACTATATTGACTGAACCAGCCCTATTATTTCCTCGCATCTGAGAAAAACCAATTTTTTTATTCAGTCATATTTAGAGATAAAAATAGTGTCTTTTTTTATATGAGGAGTGGTACATAAGTAATGCACAATAATTGTTAAAATCTGACTCATGCATGGAAGAACAATGAAAGAATTAATTTTAAAAGATTAAAGTCTCATGCTCTTGCCGTGCAAGTTTCATGAGATATCTATCACCTGATAGCAGCACCAATACATGTTCCCAAAACGGCTGTTGCAATGGAAGTGCATAAAACGCAGAGAACAGCAATTGAATTCCTCACCACAGAGGGAGTTTCACTAGCAGAAATCCATAAGAGACTGAAAAATGTCTATAGTACATCTGCCGTTAATGGAAGCATGGAAATGTGGTGGGCAAGATGCATGAAGGTTGAGGATACAGATCTGGAAGACAGGTCATGCAGTGGTTGCCCTGCCATGGCAGTGACACCAGAGATATATGGAATGGATGAGCTGATTTGCAGTGATCAATGCAACATAACAAAAGAGTTGTGCAAAATCGTTGGTCAGATCTTGCACCATCACCTCTTTGGCCCACTCAATGATGGACTTTGAGGATAGAACTTAAAGAACAATAAAGAGCAAAGGACATGATGCGCAAGGGGCTCTGCAGACGTGAAAATAAGTTTCACTTTTTTAAATTTCATTACCAAGCATCAGCTTTTGAAAAGATTCTACTCTATCCTATAATGTAGAATGAAAATGGTTTCAATACAATTAACTACATATATGCATCTTCAGTCTAAGGGCAAAAAATTCAAATGTCAAATTTGAATTTTTTTCTCCTTTGACAAGTCACCATTGGTGACTTGTCCTAGCTTTAGACACAGCACTGGAGGAAACCAATGCAGTTATACATGGGACACTCCGAAAGTGGATGTGATGTTTCTTGATGTGAGTTCATGGAATGATTACATATGGAAGCCTACCTACACTTTCAGCTCCATTGGATAAGAGTCTTTCTGCAAATTTTCAAATATATACCTCATAGAGTGTTTCTTAAATGCTGTTACATACCCTGCAAGCATTTTTTCTGGTAATGAAACTATGCCATGAGCACTTTTGTGATTTCCAACATGGCTTATTATAGGAGCAGAGCATTGCCAGGTTGCAAGGTGCATATGCAGGTAGTGCCCTGTGATCCACCATGGTGTTCTTCTGGTTTGCTGAATTTTGAAGGGAGTGGTGAGCAGCAACAGATGAATATCATACCAAACAGTTGTGACTGAAGCCATAAAAAAAACCTTGCAGGCATGCAGGGTATGAAATGCCATAAATCAAATGCCTGAAGAAGTATACATTTGAAAATCTGCAAACAGTCTCATTTCATAATGGAGCTGAAGGTGTATAAAATTTTTCATGTGTGACCAATTCTGTGAAGTCACATCCTGAAATTTTCCAAGTGCCCTATGCATGTACTACTCCATGCATGGATCTATTTGGTCAGTGCACACTCTTAAAGTGAACCCCCCCATGCAAGACATACAGGGTGTCCCATAAGTCACTATACCATTTCAAAAAATCACATTTACTAAAACATTGACTACCATGGAAATGCTGGCATATTGATTTTCCCATTCAGTGAGGCACATCGGTATGCCTCATGGTGGTCAACCTGTTAAACAGTTGACACAAAAATGAAGTAACATTAACTAAAAAATAGCATGTCATTAGGAATTAATTTGGTTAAAAATGGAGGTACAGTATCACCAGAAAGTTTGAGGCAGGTGGGAAAATTTTGTAAATTATAAAAAATACAAAAAAATCTAACGTTTTTTTCTGAAAAATATAATTTTACTTAGTTTATGTTATGAAAATACATATTTGTGCAAAAAAAGTTTATTTTCAATTCAAATTTTACTTAAATTGAAATAACCACCACGATTTTTATGACAGCAGCACAAATTCTGGGCATTCTTTTGATCAATTTTTCAAGTGTAGCAGATGGAAGGCCATTCCAGCATAGTTGCAGAATGTCCCGGAGATTTTTGGTGGATGATGTGTGTCTTTGTCGCTCTCTACAATCAGTTCTTCCCACAACAATTCAATTGGATTCAAATCGGGCGATTTTGGTGGCCAGTGCATTATTTTATGCTTTTCTGGCGCTTCAACTCTTCCAAACTGCTCTTATATATCTTGCTACTGTGTTTGGGATCGTTGTCATGCAAGATCATGTATTGGCCTCTGAACAGCTTCGTGCCAGAGGGAAATACTAGCTGTTCCAAAAGTCCCTGTATGCTTCTTTGGTCATGATTCCCTCAATAAGATGAAGGCTACCTACTTCATCACCACCAAAGCAACCCCAAATGAATACTGAACCAATTCCATGCTTGACGGTGGGCACCAAGCACTGTTTTGCAAATCTTTCACCATCTGTGCACAAAATCTCAACATTTGCAGCTAACGACTTCGAATTTGGACTCATCAGTCCAGACCACTCGTTTCCACATTATGACTGTGAAATCCTTATGCTGGAGAGTTCAATCCAGTCTTTTCTTATTAATAACTGCACACAGCAGTGGTTTTTATGCAGCTACATGCCCATGTAGTCCAAACTCCTTTAAACAATTTTTCACCATAGAAGTACTGATGAGAACACCATTGAATTGCTCGTATAAGGACGCGATTTTACCAGCTGTCAGTCTTCTACCTGATGAATAAATGTTCCTAATTTCAATATCTTGTCGTTTTGTTGTTTTTTTCGACCTGCCAGTTCGTTTTTGGCTCTCATGAGTAGAAAATCTCTCGAAGCACCTCAAAGTTCTTTGTATGCAGCAACGGGAAACGTTCATATTTGCTGCGATCTGAACTTTCAAGTATCCTCCCTGAATAAATAAAGATTCTTTCTCTTTCTGTAACAGTTAATTTAATATTTTGCCCATTTTTGAGACTTAAAAAAATGTGAAAATTGAAATCTGTCTCCAAATCTACTTTGCGAGATCATTGGCAGTACAATTGTTCCAAATATTAAAAAATGTAGCAATTATAACAAAATTAATTAAATATAATATTTACTAAATGAAACCTTTTCAAAATGGAAAAACTTTTAACATTAATACACTTTAAAGTGAAGCTAGAAATTGAACGCGAAATGTGTCCCTGCGTGAAATCATAAATAATTTGAAAATAAATTGAATAATAACAAAGAAAAGCATAATTTCGGCAAATAAAAACTACAATAAATCATTTACATTCTGTTTGAAAAAAGAGTGTTAAATTTTTTTAGTCGTTTTCTTGAAAAAGAATCATTTTTGCAACCTGCCTCAAACTTTCTGGCAGTACTGTATTTCTGCATTTTAAAAATGCCTCAAAATCCCCTTTGCCTATATCAATACATTTGGCATGAGGCCAGCATGAAAAATATTGCAGAAACTCCCCTTTACCTCTGATGGGACTCTAAAAGGCCTCCATTTAGGTTGCACCTTTTCTTCATTGCTCCAGTGCCAATTACAAAGCCGTTTCACATGACAGCAGAAGCAAATTAAATGAAATCATCTTTTTTTCTCTTCAAGTCTTCCCAAAGTTAGGAGTGAACAACACATAAATAATGTTTTGAAAATTTGTAGAAGAGGATTCAACAAAATGTATCAAAAATTTTTTAAACAAGTACACCTTTCTAATATGGGTAAGTGGATATTAAAAACCCAGCCTGTGACAATCTTGGCATGCACCCTTTTTCCATGAGGTCAGATGCAGCTTTGGCACCAAACTCAAGGTTGAGATAACTCAAGTACCACACAACCCCCCCCCCTCAAAGTCAAAGTCATTATTGTGAGAAATTTTCCAAAGAACATTCTTTCCATCAATACTACAGGGTGATTGTAAAGTCAGGAAACCCAAACATTTATTAGTGATGCCCATACCATACAACAAAAATAATTCAGACTCTCTGCAAATCTAGTTCAACATATGCATGTTCACATGAAATCACATTAGACATAGCAGCACTTTTCTACACATATTTCCAGCCCCACATTCCAGCATGTCAATGGCAATCCTACCCATGATCTCTGTGATGTTGTCCTTCAATTCTTGAACTGAATGGGGATTGTTTTTGTAGGCTCACTCCTTCACATATCCCCATAAGAAATAATCGGTTGAGGTAAGATCTGGGGACCTGGGTGGCCAAAGTCCCTTTGAGATCACCCGTTCCTCGAACACAGCTTGAACTTGACTTTGAAGGGCATTGTTCAAGTCTGTTCTGGAAGCCATCCACAATTTCATCTGATAAACCTGGTCTCCTGCTGCGAGGTCTATCAAGAACGCTTCCTGTGTCATGAAATCACTTCACCAGCTTCCAAATTGCAGACTTAGTTGGCACAATGTGATGTTGAATTTCTTTCAAAATGCTTCCTGACAGAGACTGTAAGATTTTTGCTTCAGATAAGTCTCAACAAGGAAAAGATACTGCCCCAACGTGAACACCATACTTGAAACTGAATGACTAAGCAAAATTCTGGCATGACACCTGTACTGAGAAAACATCCCCTTACATATATCATACAAATGTTGAACTATATTGTGCAATATAGGAAGGGTCCATCTAGTATAGTATGGACGAAACATTTATTTGAGTTTCCTGACTTTACAATCACCCTGTATCAACAGTGATCAGCTTGTTGCAGTTTGAAATGGTATTATGGGACACCCTGTAAAGGGCAAGGCATAATAAGGAATTGCAACTGACTGGCAGCGAAGCCAACCCAGCGAGCATATGGGATGACATTTCCATCCCAATGGGAGGATGCCAGAAGAATCACGGTTGTTGTCACACACACACAGCCAATGAAGATGCAGATGAGAGTCATCATCCACTCTGGTGGCAACTGAGGAGTGAAGCACACCTGAGGTCGGTTGTGAATTGTCATACATGTCCACATCAGACCCAATTGTGTTGCTCCTATGACCAGCACAAGTTTTGGTTATGACAAGAAATGGGAAAGTGAAACAAAAACAGAGCAAAGCAAAATCACCTCCAACATCTGATACAATCCAGTCTGGCATGGCAAGGCTGACAATGGCAAAAACATCAGCCATCATGAAGAGGGTTGCTGATATTATGGTCAGCTTATCCATGATTCATTGCAACTTCTAGCATGGCATGCATCAAGATGCAATGAAACCCAAGTAACAACTCTCCTTTTGCAGATGATGGACGTCCTGAATGAAATGTCATGAGACTGAAACAAGAAAACAAGCAAAAGCAAAGATGACCATTCTCTCTTCTACAGTCTTCCCTACATATTATAAATGCTACTGTTGGAGGGGGGGAGTCTGACAATCAGAAGCAAAATGTGGCAATGCCTCATATTCCATTTGGCACAGGATCTCTGACTCAAACAGTCAAAATCCCATCATTTCAATACATGATAGGGGAGACAACCAGATCTGGAAATCCAGAAGGTTTGGACTGAGACACATAGGTATGTAGGATTTGATCTGTGAAGCATTATGGTGTCTATTGTTCTTGCAATAGAGTTGGTGTTTGCACTTTTCTGGTAGCCAAAAGTCCACCACCCATGGGTGTTGTAGCAAAACTGAAGGCCATTCTTCTTCCCAGGCATTTCTTCTTTCAATTCTGTGGCCATTGTCCAACGAGGCTAGAGGTCTGTCTGTCCATTAGTCTGTCAAAAAATGGCAGTTCTTTTTAAAGTCGCTGCTCTGTTGTTCAATGTGTTCCTAACCAACATGTAGAGTGAGAATGAGCATTTGCTGAACCATGATGATCTGCAGAATAATTATGTAAAATCTGACATTGAAGATGGCTCCTACATAACTAAAACAAGAACAGGATGGAAGAGAAGCAAGATTGGTGCCCAAATTTTTTGTTGTAGACCTGCAACAATGACCTACAGCTTTGCCACAACACCCATGACCAGTGTCCATGAGTGGTAGACTTAAGGTGACCAGAAAAGTGCAAACATCAACTCTATTGCAAAAGCAATGCACAATGAAATGCTTCATAGATTAAACCCTACAGATCTATGTGTCTCACTCCAAACCTTTCAATTTCCTGATCTGATCACCTATTGAAATAATGGATTTCATCTGTTTGAGATATAGATCTTGATTTAAAAAGAGCTTCAAAATGGTATCAAGGTTCAGTATTTCAAATGCCATATCCCTTATCCTTATAGGTACTCCATTTCTAAAGAGCACTGCATATCTTATCTCTATATATATAAAGAAGAAAGTTTGTCCATCTGTCTATCTGTCAGTTCCTACATGCATTTGGACCCTGCAGGAGCCAGTGCAACCAAACTATAACCAGTCTTTGCATGGCCTCCTCTTTCATCTAGGGGAAGGTTGAGGGCTATGTTTCCATCCAAAATGCTCACTCCTGGGGTACTTTTCCAGGGTACTGTAGTGTCTGGGATGGCATTGAGAGGAATGAGTGACTCCTGGATTTGGTGGTGCAGTGGTAGCACACCTGACTGGCAATCAGGAGGCCTGAGTTTGATTCCCGGCCCTCCCCTGCCTTTTTTTCATTCTCTCATACTGTCCAACTCTCCAATCCCAGCCACCTGCATTACTGCACTATGGGGTAATCCCATTGCTGCATCACTACAGTAGGTAGTACGTAATATTCTTTTGATCTAGTTTTCATTGAAAATATGTTTCACAACAGGCTGAGACAGGGCAGCCCAGAGCATTTTGTGACACCCAAGATTAGTAACTTATAGGAAGCCATAAGGCTAACATTCCCAAATTTTTCATGCATTAAATATTTAAATATTGAATTACCCCGGACTATGCTGGGTACTGTACTTCAGCTAGTATAACATATTTAGATATTTAGGTTGAGGCTTAACAAAAAAAGTTTTTTTTTTTTGTAATTTAAACTAAACTGTAAAATGTTTCTAGCAGTTATCATTTTCCCAGCCTTTCAACACTATACATACAATTAGTGGGATTAAAGTTCACACACTCTGATGAAAGTAATGAAAATAAAGTGTGAATAATATCAGTATGGAATATATCTTCCAAAATGAAAGGTACTGGGTGGTTAAAGCCATGACAGCAAGAATTCAGCATTTGAAATATTTAGCCAATAGAGGTCAGTTGTTTGCTAGTTACCATCATCATGTACAGACAGTTTTCATATGCCCTTTGGCCACAGCATGGATGGGGTGTACTGAATGGTATGGAAAGAGACTGGCCAAAAGTATTCTAAATAGTACCTGCTGTGGCTGACAACCCCCAGACTACAAACTATTGGAAAGGAAATGTTCTATTTTGAGAAAATGCCTTGGTTTTAGAAATTTTGCATTTTTGAGTAAAGGCCAATTTTCCCCTCCACATGCCAGGGCTCCCAAAACTCATGCTCTACCATACAAATTTTGAATACACTGCGCAGCCACTTCATAAGAACTTCAGCCAAATAGCAGGTCATGCCACCTTTAGGCCTCAACATTTTTGAGTAACATAGCACATATGAGTAACATTTGAGTAAACATAGCACAGATTCCATATGATGTGGGAAGGTGTCTGACAGGATTCCATCCCATTCATCCAACTGTAGTATGGTATGCAGGTACAGGTATGCAGAATTTGTAGCTTGGAGGAGCGACTAGGGGAGCTATCGGGAAGGCTCATTAACGTGGAGGAGATTAGAGGGATCAGGAAGGAGGTGGGCGAGATACAGAGGGATGATTTAGTGGCGAGGCTAGTTTGGGTGGAGGAGGCACTCCGGTGGTTCCCCAGCCTTCCGGACTTTACTGGGAAGGTGGCCCTTTCGTCCTTTGACAGCGCGTCGAGTGCCGACTCCCAGGTGGTTAGTAATTGGGCTCAGGTCTTAAAGGGGGCGAGGGTTAAGCGATCCCAGGAGACAGTCATTAAGACCGAAAACAAGTTTCTCGGGTTGAGGGGGGTCAGCTTGGGTGAGGCAACGGAGGGCGGAGTGGGAACAGGTGTGATCTCGGCAGGACAAGCTCAGGCCGTGTTGAAAGCGAGAGGGAAAACTCGGGCCCTTGTAATCGTCGGTGATTGGAACCTCAGGCGTCTTGAGGGAGCGATGGAAAACGATTCAGGAGCTCAGCTTTCGTTCAGTCAGTTTCCCGGTGCTAGGATCGAACACATTAGGGAAAGGACCGGATCGGTGGTGTGCTCCAAGTCAGCCGAGTAAGTGTCGGTAGTCCTTCACGTAGGGACCAACGATACTCCCAAGTTTGGCTCTAAACTCATCATGGGCAGGCTGAGACAGGCTATTAGGGCGTGTCGGGAGGCAAGGTCGGGGGTGCGGGTGACGGTATGCGCGATCCCGAGCCGGCTAGACAAGGAAGGTAGCATGTGGTCCAAGTCGGAAGGGATTAATGACAGGTTGAAGGAGTTATGGAGGGGGCAGTGTTTCTGGACACTAGGGAGGCTTTCAGTCGCTGTAGAAGTACTATGGCTAGGGATGGAGTACATTTTTCGAAAGAGGGAGCTGTAGCAGTTGGATTGGCTATCATGAAGGAAAATCAGCCTTTAAGGTTATATATGGGGGGGGGGGAGACAACGGATCTCAAGCAAGGGACAGCCACAACGAGCAGCTTTAGACCGCCGCGTACTGGTGTGCAGGAAAGGCAGGGAAGAGACAAGTGTTTCTACGCGAATGCACGCAGATTACGTAATAAAATAGACGAGCTCAGGGGAGTGCACTGGACAACGGTTTCGATGTCGCCGGAATAACCGAGACTTGATGTAGTTCTCATATTTCGGATAAGGAATTCGAAATCGAAGGGTACGACATCTTGCGGAAGGATAGGCTCGGCAGAAAGGGGTGAGGAGTCTTGTTGTACGCTAAAACCGAACTGGGCGTTCGCGTCAGAGAAAATCTCACCTCGGCTACTTGTGGAGCAATCGAACACTTATGTGCGAGATCGGTGGAGCAACTGGGAAGATCGTGATAGGAATTTGATATAGGCCCCAATAACTCTTCTCCCGAGGATGAAACAACTCATGTTGCACAAATCATAGGATCGGCGAGTTCTCGAAACAGGTATTGCTCTTCGGAGCCTTTAACATAGATTGGTCGGTGTCACGAAGGGGGTGCGAAAAGGATCGGGCACTTCTGGGTGCGGTTCAGGACGTTCTTCTCGTTCGGTACGTAAATGAACCGACTCGCGAGAAAGCTCTATTGGATTTAATTTTTGCGACGAAAGACGATCTGGCATTAGACGTTAAGGCACTTGGGAGATTCGGACCACTGCGCTATCACGAGGAATATCAAGCGGACAAAGAGTAGCGCCAAACTGAGGATGGTTTCGTACAACTATAAAAAGGCTAATTTCGAGAGACTACGCGAATGCGTTTAAGGTATCGACTGGGAGGTGCGGTTCCGTGGGCTGACGGTAGAGGAGCAACGGAGGGCCTTCAATACGATATTGCAAGGCTTTATGGAGGAAACCATCCCCAATAAATCCATAAAATCGGGCAGGCTGGTTTACGGGTGAAGTTAAAGCCTTCATCAGGGATTAATAAAAACGAAAATGGGATGCGTACAAGCGCACGGGAGATAGCATCGCTAGCCAGCCGTTCCTCGACCTCCTGTCTCGCCGTTCTAATTTCCGCGTTTCAACGTCTACGTGATCCTCCTATATTCATCATAGTCCGTCCCGTGCGCTTGTACGCATCCCATTTTGTACGCAAGAAGAACCCCAGGGCTTTTTATCGGTATGCTAGTGGTAGGTGTCAACTGTCGATCCTAATGAAGGAAAAGAGGGAGTTCAGTACAAGTAATACGGATATGGCCATCATACTTAACGAGTTCTTCGCTTCCGTTTTAACTGTCGAATCCGATTTTTCAGAAGGGCGAAAATAGTAATCCAGGAACTTACAGGCCGGTAAGTCTCACGAGTATCCCAGGGAAGAACACGGAGAGCATACTAAGGGACAATCTCTTGGATTTCCTCGAAGGAAACGCGCTCATTCGGGACTCTCAACACGGCCTTCGGAGGCGTCGAAATTGTCTCACCAATTTGCTCCAATTCTACGACTGCGCGACGGAAGGGAGGGATAAGGGGAATCCCGTCGACATCGTCTATTTAGATTTCGTGAAAGTTTTCGATACCGTTCCCCACAAGAGGTTGCGGGTTAAACTGGAGGTGCACGGGATCCAGAGGAGGACGAGCGAGTGGATCAGTAGCTGGTTGGCAGGAAGAGAGCAACGGGTGATGTCAAATGGGGAGGCGTCGAAGGTCAGTTTCGCAAGCGGTGTCCATGAAGGCTCGATCCTTGGACCGCTTTTGTTTTTGGACTACATAAACCATTTGGATCTCGGCGTAGAGGGTACGAATCGTTTTGTCATGAATCGTTTTGGCTCCAGATATGATACATTTGATGAGATCCTGCGATACCTGGTTTCAGCCATTACTATGTTCAAGAGGCCAGGAATTAAGATTATTCTGCCAGAAGCTGCCACTGATTGCAGACCCACACGACCATCACCTTTTTAACCACGTTTATACATATATATTTGGACTGTTTTTTGTTCCCTCCCTTTAAATTCATAGCCCAGATCCGTGAATGTGTTTGTTTTTTTGGTCGGCGTGAGATGGCCCCGACTTACACCATAAAAGCATAACGGTGAAACCCTCTCTTCTCTGTCGAACCGTTGGAGATGATTCCCTGTTTACCATTCTGCTATTTGTAAAGGATGTCCTCCCCCTTTTCCTGGGAAACGCTGTCTCTGAGTCAAGCGCGAGGAAATGGTGCATACCACCTAGGGAGATAGAACCTGGCGGGCATGGCCACCCGAGCGTGACCCTGATTCGAGGGGGGCTACGGACTGAATCCACAAACGAAGGAAACGAGGTTCATTACCCTCTACGCCCCAGTGCCATATAAACGTCTTGGCGGTAGACCTCCCCAGCTCGGATATTGCCAATGTCCCCTTTGTCCGCGTTCGCCTTATTTGAATATATATGTCGAAATTTTGCTTG